TATCCTTCTCCAGGGAATGGTCCCTTCTGACAACATGACCAATGTAGGTGAGACAAAGCTGGCCTTTCTTGCTTCCAAGGAGCATTCTGGCTACACTTCTTCCAGAACAGATTGGTTAGTTCTTTTAGCAGTCCATGGTATTTTCAGTACTCTTCACCAAAACAACAATTCAAAAACATCAACTCTTCTTAGGTCTTCCTTATTCATTGTCCAGCTTTCACATGCATATGAGGCTTCTGAATATACCATGGCTTATGTTAGGTACACATTAGCCTTCAAAGAGATATCTTTGCTCTTCAGCACTTTAAAGAGGTCTCTTGCAGCAGATTTGCCCAGTGCAATACGATGTCTGTTCTTGACTGCTGCTTCCATTGGTGTTGATTGTGGAACTAAGGAATAGGAAATCTTTGACAACTTCAATCTTTTCTCTGTTTATCTTGATGCTGCTTATTGGTCCATTTGTAAGGATTTTCCTATTCTTTATATTGAGGTGTAATCCATTCTACAAACTATAGTCTTTAATCTTCAATAGTAAGAGCTCCTTTATCACATAGTAAGTATTCACTCAATATTAATCTTCTTCATAATCTTACTGTCATCTTTTATTCTTCTTAATGTTCCTGACCACCTAGTTCTTACCTTTGCATCTATGTATGATTACAGTAAAGCTTAGTATTTGCTAATTCTGTCTCCTAATAGGTTGTAAATTACTAGAGATTAGGACGTTATTTTTCCCTTTCTTTAAGTTTCATAACTTCATGTAGTGGGCATATAGAACATATTGTTCTTCTCCTGTATAATGACCAAGCCTTAACTCCTGTTCCTTGTAAGTAATCATTGGTATCCCTTAAGATTCTTCATCTTGGATCTATCTGTTTGAATTTTTTCAATCTAGTATGGTTCAGGAACTTTTGGAATAACTACACTGATATTTTAGGAACTATAGTTTTGTGCCCATTGTCTACCTGTAGCAATTTCTAACATGTAATATCATTATCTGTGAACTTTCTTTTATCATCAGGATCTAATTCTGTTTACACAAACTATCTATAAACATGTATGACTTTTATATACTTGCCTAGATCAATACTTTCATCCACCTTCTTGCCCTTAGTGAATATCATATGTCTAATACTCTTTAATAACTCCAGGCATAAAACAGAATTTTTTTCACCCTTTAACACCTCTGTAAATAGGATATGTCTTTTAATTTATGACATTTAAAATATAAAAATGGGGATATATTTTA